TTTAAGTTTATTTATCTTGAAAGAGAGAGAACATGCACAAACAGGGGAAGGGGAGAGAGAGAGAGGCAGAGAAAGAGACAATCCCTGCTGGCTCTGCACTGGCAGTGTGGAGCCCAACACAGGGCCTCAAACTCACAAACCGTGAGATGATGACCTGAGCCAAAATCAAGAGTCACACATTTAACCTGACTGAGCCACCCAGGCACCCTTCGTCATTCAATTCTTACCCAGCTCATAGGTCATCTCTGGGAAGCTCCCTGACAACTCTCCTCACTCTGCAGCAAAGTTAGGTTCCTTATGTTCTTTCTTACAAAGGATGCTCCCACGGCATCCTTTCTTACATACTGCAACACTCATATGCCTTTATAATTATGTCTCTAGATGCCTCATTAAAATCTTAAGATGCACGTAGGCATTAAGTCAGTTCATTTCTTTTGGGTACTTATAGTCCTGGAATACTGATTCTCAATATGTATATGTATTTTTTGCCAATCTACATTCACAACAAACTCCCATAATTAAAATCATTCATGAAAATCACCATCTTAGTCTAGAGGTGCCATATGCATAAAAGGTTGTACGTGAGATTTAGGACAGTCTTATCCTTCTGTAACAGGCATTGTTTGGAGAGGGAATAAAGGAAATACAATGGACTGTATAAAATCTGAAGGTTTTTCCTTCTTAGAAAATAAGTTATTATAAGTTAGTTCAATAATTCTTAAATGAAATTAAATTATGCTATGGATATTTGGAGCTTTTTTGAAAATCACAATATAAAGGGATGTAAACAGAATATTAATGTAATCATTCTCATTATTCCCATTACCTGTTCAGTTCATCCAGACATAAGCGCAGTGTTTCATAAGTTGTTAGAGCAATTTCACATTTCCTCTGCTTTACACGAATCAGTTCATAGTCTTTTTTGTTACCATGTAAAATAGTGACTCTGAAATATCCCCAGGTGTCCAATTCATCTCTCCAGTTGTAGAGTACAGAAAGAGGAGCAACTATTAAGAACATCTAAAAGAAGAAGAAAAAAATTATGATATATTTTTTAAAAGAAAAAAAAAAAGAAATCCAGAATACCAATAGTCCTATTCTTTAGTTTCTGGCACTGCAGTTAATAAGAATAAATACAACTTAGTGATTGGATATATCTGGATATAGAAGACTGTCAAAAATACTTTGTCACCCACTTCTCTTTTATTAGGATAAAACAGATATCTAACTCTGTCCAAAGGAAGAGTTGTTTTTTATTTCCCCCCTCTCCCCGCCAAAAAAAAAAAAAAAGGAGCTGAGAGATAAGAGAGAAGCAATTTTCCAAAAGAGAAGAGTATAATCAGGACCCAAATAATAACTTCAAGAGCCAAGGGGGTAATATATAAAGCAGGACAGGTTTTTTTCTTGAAATACATGGTTTTCTGAAGCTCTTTCCTTTGCATTGCCCTAGTCCATTTCCTCTTTCCCTCTTTCAGATACTGTCAGTTGGAGATCTGGAAAATTCATTAGAAAATTGAAGCAATTAGAAGAAAACCTCTACCTCTCTTACCATTAGGTCAATAATCTACCTGTATTTATTTTCATGTATTCTGCCCTCCCACACATTACCATGGATGAATTGTCCATGTTCTTATCTGAAAATAAACCTTAAACTTACACCGTGGCTGCCATCATTTCTTGCCAACATAAAATCAACGCTGGAGAAACTGCCTCCAACTGCCCTATGAGACTAACTTTCCCTTTTTAGTGTACCACATCCATCCACAAGCAAGTAAGTTCTAATTTTTCCCAGAGTTAAAAAACAAAACAATACCCCAAATCCTCTTCCTTAAACGTACAACTCTCTTCAGCTATCCTCTATTACTTTACCATCTTTATAGCAACGATCCCTATGAGTTATCAATACTTACTGTTTTTACTTAATCTCCTCCAGTTCTCCCTTGAATTCATATAAATGGGACGTATGTCCTAACCCTCCAACCAAAGCAGTCCTTGTGAAGATTAACAATGTATCTGTGTTTAGTTTTCACATGAATATTTTGGGGTTCCACTGACCTTCCCTGTACTAACCCCAAATCCTGCTGTCATCACCCATTTTAATTTTTTAATGTTTTTATTTCTCACTATTATCACTCTTTCTAAGCTATTATATTTAGTAGTGTTACAAGTTTCTTTCCTAAAGTTTTATATTTGTCCTACTCGATAAAGATCAGCAAATTAAACATACTGAAAATTTTCAGTTTAGCAAAAATTAACTAATACAATACTAGTCTAAATCTTGCTCTCTCTTCTATGAAATATTTCAGCTAGGCCATTTGTCAGGTATAAGAATTCAAAGCTGTGATTGTATTTTGGAAAGAGAAAGAAGAAGAAAGAACAGAAGATTAACCTACTGAATGGCAGAGCTCCTTTTTCCCACCCCAACATCAAACACACATAAATACTTTCTTGTCATACTTGATTCATCTCAAATACTTTTGCCTTTTGGCTTGGAGTTTATCCTATGAATTCTATTATTCTCTTACCTTCAAAACAAAATCTGGGATACAAATACTAAGTCCAAGTATAGTTTCATCCCATCCCCCTCCATTTCTGTTATTACAAAATGAAAATGATGGGTCCAAACTCCATCTGAGCACTTTGAGCAGTTTTCCACTTCAGATATCATTCATCAAAGTTGCCAATGAATCTAAAGATTCCTAGATTCAGCCCTCAGATTCAACAAGTTTTAAAACGAAGACATTTCTTATTATTGGTCTTTGAAATTGCAAAAGGTAAATAAAATAGTTCAGTAACCCGTTTTAGTACTGAGAGGTCAGAGAACTGAGTTATGCCACTTGCAAAGTCCAGAGAATGTATATAAGAAGAATGTAAAGTCTTTACTACCATGCTATGAATAATATTTCATTTAGCAAGCCTTACTTAAGCACAAGATGTCAAAACAATAAAATGGAAAGCAGTGTCCAGCTAAGTCACTTGACATAAAACAACATTATTTGTTATTCTGAAGCTAAGAAACAATTTTATAAAACTAGATCTAAAATGTAATATACATAGAATTAAAAGTTGCTTACTTAAATATTACTAACATCAATAGAGGCCACATTTAATCCTTCAACTAGAGAATACTGAATTACTTTTATCTCTTTCAACAAATCTAGTTCAATAACTGAAACACATGCTTTTAAATCTTGAATCTTCTTGTACTATGGCTTTAGGAAAATGATGTGATGTGGGCTGTGACAAAATACCCAAAGATGTTTTTCATGTGATGATTTCTGTGGTAGGAGGTACAGTATTAACGATAATCACCATACCATTATTGAGCACTTGCTGTATGCCAAGGACTGTGCAAAGTAGTTGACAAATATTAACACAAGGACTTTACATAGAAATGCTACAAAGTAGGAGTATTTAGTATTTTCCTAATAAAGGATGAGATGAGATAACTAAGGTGTAGAGATGTTAAATAACACACCCAAGGTCCTACTCCTATTAGATGGCAAAATAAGTATTTGAACCCATGTCTGTCTAATTCTAAAACTCAGCCACTACTATATATCATATTAGTATTGTAATTTGCAAAGTCCATGACCATGAGATACAGAGCTCTCTTATTTACCACTATAACTCCAGAACTTTGTATAGTGTTTAAAAACAAAGGTGTTCAAATGATAAATGAAATAATAAATGCAACAATGCATGTCAGTGCCAGAATAGAAACAGCAATGTATATTTAGAGAACAACAATAGACAAACAGAACCAAAGCAAAGGTCTCACATGGGAGGAAGTGAAGATATCAAAGTGAAAAATAATATGTACCTTTACAGAGAGAAACTATAGACCATAAAATTGAAATTTTTGCCATACATAACTCAAAGTTCTAAAAAATATTCCCTGTAATTACCTCTACAATGTTAATTCCTTAAAAAAATGCCAAACCTTAAGAAAGAAAGAAAGAAAGAAAGAAAGAAAGAAAGAAAGAAAGAAAGAAAGAGAAAATGCCAAACCTGGAGTGCCTCGGTGGCTTAGTCAGTTACACATCCAACTACTGATTTTAGCTCAGGTCATGATCTCATAGTTCATGGGATTGAGACCCATGTCAGGTTCTGTGCTAACAGTGCAGAACCTGCTTCAGATCCTCTGTCCCCCACTCTCTCTGCCCCTCCCCACTCATGTGTGTTCGTTCTCTCTCACACACACACAAAATAAACAAACTTTAAAAAACTTTTATTAAAAAATGCCAAAACTAATTAATTTAAACCCTATAATACGAGGGGCGCCTGGGTGGCGCAGTCGGTTAAGCGTCCGACTTCAGCCAGGTCACGATCTCACGGTCCCTGAGTTCGAGCCCCGCGTCAGGCTCTGGGCTGATGGCTCGGAGCCTGGAGCCTGTTTCCGATTCTGTGTCTCCCTCTCTCTCTGCCCCTCCCCCGTTCATGCTCTGTCTCTGTCTGTCCCATAAATAAATAAAAACGTTGAAAAAAAATTAAAAAAAAAAAATAAACCCTATAATACGTAATTGATAACTTTTCCTTTGGAATACTGTGGCTGCCCAGAGTTGGGCTCTGTGCTGATAGCTTGCAGCCTGGAGCCTGTTTCAGATTCTGTGTCTCCCTCGCTCTCTCTCTCTTCCCTATTCCTCTCATGCAGCCCCTCTCTCTCTCAAAAATAAACATTAAAAAAATTAATATGTATATTAAATATATATGGGAATTTAAGTTTAGAATCCATTCTAGTCATGAGCCTCTCCAAATCTTTTTTTTTTAAGTTTATTTATTTTGAGAGAGAGCACACGGGGGAGGGGCAGAGAGAGAGAATCCCAAGCAGGCTCCACACTGTCAGCACAGAGCCTGTTGTGGGGCTCAATCTCACGAACTGTAAGATCATGACCCAAGCCGAAATCAAGATTCAGATGTTTAACTGAGTCACCCAGGTGCCCCCAAATCTTTTTTTTAAAGTAGAAGAATTTTACCAAAACTTGACATTCCTTAAAAATATAAAATTACAGACCAATAGCACTTAAATTAATGGACACAAAACCAATAGATCTCAAATCTTGCAATTAAATAAATAAGGTCTGAAAATGGAAATGACAAGTAAAAGTATAAATATTCATAGAAAATATATGTAAAGCAATAAAATGAACAGTAAATCAATTATTAAGAACAGTAAAATAATTAAGAAAGTGGAATTTATAAAATATATGTCTCACCTTAAATGACATATTAGACCTGTTGGATTTAATATATACAGAATATTCTATCCCAAAGGAGCAGAATATACATTCTCTTCAAGTGCACGTTACAGTTTTTGGTATAGACCATATGTTAGGCCACAGAACAAATCTTAATAAACTTAAGGAGACTGAAATCATATCAAGCATCTTTTCCTACCACTATGCTATGAAACTAAAAAGGAAAAGGGGAGAATTCACAAATATGTAGAGATTAAACAACATGCTACTCATGATAAAAACCCTCAACAAGGTAGGTTTAGAGGGAACATACCTCAACATCATAAAGGCCATAGATGAAAAGCCCATAGTCAACATCATCCTCAATGGGGAAAAACAGAGCTTTTCCTCTATGGTCAGGAACAAGGCAGGGATGTCCGCTCTCACCACTGTTATTTAACATAGTACAGGAAGTCCTATCCATAGCAATCAGACAACAAAAAGAAATAAAAGGTATCCAAATCAGAAAGGAAGAAGTAAAACTTTCACTATTTGCAGATGACATGGCATACTATATAGAAAACCCGAAAGACTCCACCAAAAATACTGCTAAAACTGATATGTGCAGTCAGTAAATTTCTGTGAGTTGATTTCAGGACACAAAGTCAATGCACAGAAATCTGTTGCAATTCTATATATCAATAATAAAGTAGCAGAAAGAGAAATTAAGGAATCAACCCCATTTACAATTGCACCAAAAATAATAAGATACCTAGGAATAAACCTAACCAAAAAGATAAAGGACCTGTACCCTGAAAACTATAAAACACTGGTAAAAGAAAC